CCCTTTTTATAATAAATGGAAATTAGTTGAATTAAAAAACTCCTTTATCATTCAAAAGTAGTCACTAGTCCTAAAGATTACAAATAACATACCTTTTATTAAATTTTATTAATTTATTAATTTATTACATTTTCCATTACATTAAATCTACAAGTTTCATATAAAATGGGAAAAAGTTCCACTGGGAAGAATAGCTCTATTAATTGAAGTCTCATTTGTAGTTCTATTATGAAACAATTATTTGTAAGATTAGGTAATGCTTATGCTTTTATTATAAGCATCAATATGCAAATATTAATTCAAGCTATGGTCCTGGCCAAAAAAAAAAAAAGATTTATGAATTGTGAATGTACTTACAGAAATGAAACAATTTTTTTCAACAAGTAATATTAATGGAGATAGGTAAGCTTAGTTCAGATAAACAGATTATTCCAATCAGAAACCTAATTAGGGAATCACATAACATTCAGAATTAGAGGGGACCTCAGACCATTTAGTCCAACCTGTACTAGAATCTCTTCTTCAGTATACTCAAGTGATCATCCAGCCTTTGCTTGAAGAGAATCCAGGCAGAGGAAATTCACTGCCTCCTAGGGCAGTCAGTCCCTTCCACTTTGGGAAGACTATAATTGTGAAGTTTTTTCTAACCTCATAATTAAATTGCTCTTAATAACTTTCACTTAATTTTTCCCTAGGGAGAACAAGTCTAATCTCTCTTTCGCATGACAATCCTTCCAATACTTGAACATGGTTATCATAACCATCCCCTCAAACCCTGATTCAAGTGTTTTCTTCTCTAGATTAAATCTCTCTAGTTTATTTGACCATTATGCCTATAGTATAAACATGAAATCCTTCATTATCCTGATTGACCTCTACTGGATGCTCTCTAGCTAATTAATGACCTTCCTACAGTGTGGCACCCTGAACTAACCATACCACTCCAGATATAGCCTGATCACGGAAAAAGGAATATCATTTTCCTAGTCTTGGACATTATGTCTACCTTGAAGTAGCTGAAGGTCATATTAGCTTTTTTTGTCCAACACATCCCTGGTGCCCTCTGATCCCATCTCTGATCTCATACCACCTCAACTACAACTATCCTTCCCCCCAAAACTATCTTGTATTCATTTTGTATATATTCTGTACAGACTTATACATGTAAATGTTGTCTCCCTTATAAAAATGTAATCTCCTTGAGGGCAACTGTTTTACTTTTGGTTTTGCATGCCTGGTACTTAGCACAATACCTGGTACACAGTAGCATTCAAGAATTGCTGACTGGTGATTCATCTTGAGGTTGCAGTTTACTAAAACCCCCATATCTTTCTGAGACAAATTTCAATCTAGCAACACTAACCCATCTCATATTTGTACAGATAATTTTTAAACCAGTTTAGACTTTGTCAGTATTAAATGTTATTTTATTAGATTTAGTACAGTGTTCTGGTATGGTATCCTGATTCTGTTGCTCCAATGTATGAGCTGTGCTTCCTGGTTTTTTGTTATTTGCTTATTTGATAAGTCTATCAGCTATGCCTTGATTCAAGTCATTGATTAAAAATATTAGATGGCATGAAGCCAAGGTCAGATACCTAAGGTGTTTCTTCCCCCAGAGACCTTCCTCTGAGGCAACATCTTATTTCCACCCTTGGGTCCAGTTGTTTGTTCAGTTGAGAATCCACCTAACTGTACTAACATTAACCAGCTCACAGCTCTCCATCTTGTCCCCAAGACAGGCATAAGAGCCTTTATTAAACATTCTGCTATGATACAGGCAAACTATATCTACAGTATTTTCTTGATAGTTTTGTATGAACATATTAAGGAATCTGTCAGCTTGGGAGCTACTCCCACCAACACTGATCACAAGCCACACATACTTAATAGATAAAGTCTTAGAGAACTGCAAGTGGGTAAATGAATTTGTTGTTGTTGGTCATCTTGTACATTTAAATGACAGAACTTAAACCTAACTCCTTCTGACTTCAAACTCAGCTCCCGAGCTGTAGCGCCACAACATCTCTTTCCATTTTACTTACCTTGTCAATACAGCTGAGTATAGCTTGACTTGATGAAGCCACACTGCCACGTTCTCATCACTCCTATATGTTCCTTAACCATACCTTTAATTACACCATCTAGAATTTTGCCAAGTCAAGATTAAAGACCTACTTAGTGAAGATTCCATTCTTTTCTTTTTGGAAAGTTTCACTAAACCTGTGAAATCTGCTCTCCCAATACGTGTGAAAGAGAGAGGATTTCCTTTCCTGCGGCCCTATCCCCAATTCTAAGATGGACTGGTCTCTCTCCTCCAAGTTTTACTTCCTTCTCACTTCCTTTCTGGTCAAAATTAGTCCAAAACAACAGGATCCCCTGTTGCTTCCCAAGGAAAAACCAATATATTATTAGCTGCTCTGCTTTAGGCACAGTGAGAACTCCAGAAGACGTTTGTATAATAAAATTCCCCTCCTCATTAATATAGGATGTTTTGCCATGCTAGGCCTGTGACTTATCAAATTCCTCATCTATTTCTTCGTTTTACCCAGGTCTATGTGACAATATCATTTCCGTTTTTGCCTCTACTGATCTTTATCCAAATCGGGTTTACTTAATAAATCAGTTACTTGCTCTTCCCTCCTAAAACCATTATCTCTTTTGTCTTAATTTATGGCATATAAAGATTTTTTGGAGACCCTGTCTATGCATGTGTATAGACATGTATCTATCTATCTATCTATGTGTATCACCCTATATACTTGCTCTTATGCACACACATATGCAAATTGTGTGTGTATGTGTGTGTGTGTATATATATAGAATGATTTACATATATGTATATAAAAATGTAGGAAGTAGTATGGTATGGTGGTATTGATAAGGAGTCAGTTCATGTGACAGTACTAGGCTGGCTTACACAAACCAGTCCACCACAGGTGTATGACCAGCCCCACCCTAGTGAACCAGGTACCTTGCCCATGTAAAGGCTGAGTATAGGTTGAAATAATTTAGGCCTTCAGACCTTTATTGTTCACCGTGATGGAGCAAACTGCATGACAAATGCCAGGACTGGAACCCAGGACCAAGAAGACCTGGAGACCAGCCCCTGTCCTGGCACACATTAGCTATATCACTCTGGATTAGTCACTTTAGCTCTTAATACCGTAGGTTGCAGAAAAGCTACCCATTTGTATCGGCAAAGGCATTTGACTCACTGTTAGTTCCCTGATTAAATTACACTAAGTTAATAAATGTACATATATATTATCATTCTACATGTATTTGTATTTGACACTTCACTATCTCCTACTCTTTTATAAAGCATAAATGCATGAGTTTACATACAGATAGCTCCTGCTGTCTGTAAGTGGACCGTTCCACAGACCTCTCCCTCCCCTGGGGAGCTCTGCATGGCCTTGCCCTATAACCTAGCTTCAAGCGCATGGGACCCCCCTAACCTCCAGAGCAGCTTCAGTGACCGGTACAAAGGAACCTTGTCTGGGGGGCAAGGTGGATCAAATAACTTAGTGGGCTCAGATATGAAAGTAATGTTTGCTGTAATTATAGGTACAGAAAGGACAGTCATGGCTCCTTTGTTGCCAAAATTCTTTCAGTAGGAGTATGAAAAATAGCTTTAGCAAAGAAAAGTCAGGCTAAAAAAATCTTTTAGAGAAGGACAAAGAGGACCTGGGTGAGGATTCCTGGACAAAAACAGGTATAGCTAGTGTAGGAGAAGCCACAGGTGTAACAAAAAGCTTACACAAGGGAAATAAGGCTAAGAGCAAAACTCATTCAATAAAAAGTAACTCAGCCACATCTGGACATAATTCTATGTGCTAAAGAAAAAAATATGACAACAGGAAAAACACTGGCCTGGAATCTGCTAAAGAGGATGTTCTAGTGTCTCTATCACTAACAAGCTGAGTGACAAAGAGCAAGATAATTCACACAACCAACATCTCTGGGCCTCAGTTTCCTCATATGTAAAATGTGAGGGTTAGACTAGATGATCTCAAAGGTCCATTCCAGTTTGAAAATACTAAACTAGCGGCTTTATTATTTAGGGATGTTAGGCTTTAGATTAAAAAAGGATACAGTTAAATGTAATACGTAAAATCTTACATAAGGTATATTCTTTCATAAACATATTCATCTTTACGCTTTATATCATATCTAAAAGGTGGGAAATCATGTATTTATATAGCACTTGCTACTACACCATGCATATGTCAATCAATCAACATTTATTAAGCACCTAATATGTAAGTAAAACTTATAACTGATAATGATGACAATAATAATAAAGAAGAGAAGGAAAAAGAAGATAATAATAATAAAGACTACCTACCAGTTACAAAGGAATGTGGTTTGGCATTTTTTTGGGTAGAGCTCCAACTTCAGTGCTTGGCATGTTTGCCCAAACAGGCAGTCAGTCTCTACCAAGGCTGAAGACCCCTTAGAGTCAACCTGAAACAATATCCCAACATAAAGGAGAACTACCGAAAACTGCCACACTTTGATGGGGATAGTACCTATTTATAATCAATGATCCTTCAGTTCTATTGATGTCCACTTCTTTACTTTCCCTTTTTCAAGTGAAGCCTAGCAACATTCTTTTCAGATGTTTACTCAAAGAAATATGCTCCCAGAATCTTTTGGTATGGGGCTCTGAGACACCAAACCCAAAGGACTAGATATGCTCTGAGGTCCCTTCCAGCTTTACATTTATGATGCTATGAGAAGAATCAACTTTATGTTCTGATCTGACAAGAGAGAGGAGTCAGTGTTAACAAGTCAAGAGAGCTATCAGACCATTAAACTCAGAAAGTTGGAGACCAACTTGCAGAAGTGAAGCCTAAGGGAAAGCAATGAAGTAGCACTCTCCATGAAACAAAAACATTTCCACACTAAAATGGAATTTCTACAGAGGGAAAGATAATGGTAAAATAAAGATAACTGAGGAAAACTGTCTTAATAATTGAAAGAAAAATACTCACTTGCTTCACATTCTCAGCTAAGAAGACAATGTAAGCACTACAGAATCCCAGCTGTGTTATCACCAGAAAAATGTCCACAATATTCCTGAAAATAGATACATATATAGGTCATCTTCCTAAAATGACAATTTTTTTTTACCCCTTTTATAAGCCATGCTAATAAATTTGAAATAAAGTGTTTTTATTTTTCCCAAGTGACAGAACAGAATTAAAATATCCACTTTCTATAACGTATAGACATTTATAATTTACGAATGAATAAAAGAAAATAAAAGATCCTGCTGTATGTGCTAATAATCCCCTCTCCCCCAAAAAGGCACATGACTCAGTAGAGCAAAGCTCTTCCAAGAATATCACAGGTTTATATTAAGAAGCAGCATGCTTCTCAGGTATTAGAGGACTCTGGATTCAAAACCCAGCTGTTATCACTAGCAGCTGCACAAGCTGTTTCATCTCTCTGGACTTCAGTTTCCTCATCTGTAAAACGAGAAGTTTTCAACTGGATGACTTCCACTTGCAGCTACCTCTAAATCTAGGATATGATAGTAAGATTTCCTAATAAGTACAACTACAAAGAGTAATTGTACTCTGATTGCTGTGAAGGGAGACATAAAGCCTCCACCATCACAGAGGATGCCCTATGCCAAAATTCTTTCAGTAGGAGTATGAAAAATAGCTTTAGCAAAGAAAAGTCAGGCTAAAAAAAATCTTTTAGAGAAGGACAAAGAGGACCTGGGTGAGGATTCCTGGACAAAAACAGGTATAGCTAGTGTAGGAAAAGCCACAGGTGTAACAAAAAGCTTACACTAGGGAAATAAGGCTGGGAAGAGCAAAACTCATTCAATAAAAAGTAACTCAGCCACATTTGGACATAATTCTATGTGCTAAAGAAAAAAATACGATAACAGGAAAAACACTGGCCTGGAATCCGCTAAGGAGGATGTTCTAGTGTCTATCACTAACAAGCTGAGTGATAGCACAAGGATGCCTGGGACTGTGGAGTCAGAGCAGGCTGGACCCTTAGACATCTTTTAGTTTAAGCTTCCCACCTGGCAGGTGAGGGAACTGAAGGCCAAAGAGATGAAGCAGTATGAGCGAAGTCACAGATGTAGTAGCAGACAGAATGACCTGAACACACATGGCCGCTGAGCTGAGCTATCCTTCCTCATTCTTTTGTCAGCACACTCACCATCTACCAAAGCAGGGCCTCTTACTCACTACCGGCGCTAGGGTGCCAAGTTCAGCCTCTGCTGCTTGAACATGGGAACTTAGCCAAGGCAGGGAAACACTTTGCCCAGAGTGGCTGACCTACCACCAACAGCCATGAGGCATCAAGAACGACCCACTCCCCTGAATAACTAAGACCAAGGCCTATCCCATGCCCAAGCCTTACCCTCAAGATCAAACATATTTCAAGTATCAACTAGGATAGACTCAATGTCTTTTTGTCAACTTTACAGATTTGTTTCTGGTTCAGATTAAGTGAATATACCCCAGAAATCTCTTGTTATCCCAGTATTAATCAAAATAATCAATCAATACCCACACTTTAGTGTGGACCCAGAAGATTAAGTGTGGAAATACTGCAAGACATTTGACCTAAATATCACTTGTCCTCAACTCCACCACAGCTATACAATAGTGCTGGGCGTTGTTTAACATTTTTAACATAAAAAAGATGTTAAGAAGAATAAAATATTAAATATCTAAACTGTATTTTTCACCTAATGGCTCTACCATGATTTTTATTAAATATTCTCAAGATCCTCCAAAAAGTAAATAATTACACACTTTAAAGAAGTAAGAAATACCTAAATTAAGATGATTCAAGTTACTTTATATAGGATATGTGGCAAAGCTAGGATTGTGATATAAAATTCCCAGGACATACAATCTCCCTTTAAAACTCATTATTTTCCAGCTTTTAAGTTCAGAGTGATATTTCCCCAATTATTCTATTATTTAAAATACAATAAAGCACAAATCATACTTGTTAATTTAGGTATTCAGGTTTCATCGATCAGAACATCTGGTTTCAGTGTATACAACGTAAGTTTGATAGAATAAGGTCTTATCGCATTTTGCCATCTCCCAGTACTACTGCAGCATCCTAGCATAAACTACTGTAGTTTGCCCAGGGTTGCATAAAGCTGAGTAACTAGACAGACGTTTATAGCTCCTGGTGCCCTTCACATTGTGAACAGAACACCATGTTTAGCTACAAAGTTTAGACAGAAAGGAATTCTGTGTTCTCATGGAGAATATAATCCAGCAGGAAAACAAAATATACTACAAATAACCATAATATTATAAAAAACAAAAGGCACAAAATAAAAATAAAAGTAAAATGTTATGTCAAGTCTGAGACAGGAAAGGTCATCACTAACTAGGAATCATCAAGGAAAACTTTCTGAATTCAGAATCTGAGTTGTGTTTTAAAAAGGGTGGTTAAGAATCTCCAAAGTGGAATGGAGCATAGTAGCCATAAATTCAAGAAGAACAAAAACTCACTTTATAACACACCTAATCACGCAGCCTTTACCTGAAAACCTTCAGTGCAGTAATGCCTCCTAAGATGGCTGGTCCCATTTCTAGATAGCTCTAATTATTAGAAATTATTTACTCATATTATAGTAAGTAAAAATCTGCTTCTCTGTTCTAATTCTATCTTCTGGAGCAAAATAGAACAAGTCATCCATCTTCCACATGATAGCTTTTCAAATACTTGAAAATATCTTTAATAGTCCCAGTAATTCTTCAGGGTACCAGGGATGGGGAACCTTCGGTTGGCCTCTGTGGTCTATGAAGTTTGGATTAGTCAAAGTGCCACACTTGAGGACCTAGAGGGGGCCACATGTGGCCTTGAGGCTGCAGGTTTCCCCAACCCTGGTAAGCATCCTCCAGGCTGTAAGTCTTCTCCAGGCTAAATCCTATTAACCAAATCCTAATAGAACATAATCTTATGGACCTTCATTATCCTGGTCACTCTCCTTAGAATGTTCTATAGCTTATCATGTCCATCCTAAAACATGGTATGCAGAACTGAACAACATACACTCCAGATATAGTTTAATGAAGGTGGAATACAATAGGCCTACAAGCTTTTAATTCTGAACCCTATGTCTCTCTTAATGTAGTCAAAGTAAACATGAGGCAGCTTGGTGGACCCAGTTTTTTTAGCTGTCATATTGATTTTGCAGTTCACTAAAAGCCCTGGATCTTTTTTAGGTAAACTGCCATCTAGTCATGCCTTTTCTCTCTTGTACTTATAAAAATTAATTTTTGAATGTATTTATATAAAATGATTCTTTGAAATATAAGAGTTTATTCCTATTAAATTCCATCTTATTAGGTTTAGGTTCAAAACTATTGAGATCTTTTGGAATCTGACTTGTGATCAAAAGTTTTAATTAGCCAAGCTAGTTCTGAGACATCAGCAAATATTCATACAAATAAGTCCATCATCTATGCCTTTATCCAAGTAACTGATAAAAATATTCAACAAAGTAAGGCTATACTAAGAGACCTGGGGCAATCCACTAGACAAACTCCTTCCAAAGTTGACATCAAACCACAATAGCTATATTTCATGTCTATTTACAAATATACCTAAATGTAGTACTGTTTAGCTCTCACCCTCACAAGAATAGTAGATGAATGACTTTAAGTGACTTGCTAAAATCTAGGTAAATTATATCTACTACATTCCCTTGATCTAAAAGAAATGAGGCTAATTTGGCATGAGATGATTTCATGAAGCCATCTTGACTCTTTATGACCACTGCATCCCTTTTTTTTTTCTAGATCTTTACTAACCATCCCTTTAATAATATTTTTGAGAAGTTTACAAGGAAATGAGTGAAGTTCACTGGCCTATAATCTGCAGACTGTACTCTTTTCCCTTTTTTGAAAATAAGAACACTGTCTGATTTTCTCTATTCCTGCAGCAGCTCTCTTGTTTTCTACAATCTTTCTAAGACAATTGATGATAGCTCAGCCATCACATCTATTCGTTTTTTCAGTAATGTGGGATATGGCTTGTCTGGGCCTGGCAACTTGAGCTTTTAATTTTACAGCTAGGTGCTCTCTTCCTATCTTCTTACTTATCTCTAGTATAAATTCCCCATAGTCAATTGTTTCATCATTTCCAATCCAAAAATGATTTTCCTTGGTAGAGAAAATAGAAGAATTGAATATTTCTGCCTTCTTTCCATTGTCTGTTATTATTACCTCATCTACCCTTAGTAGCCTTTCCTTTCTTCAATCTTTCCCATCTTCAACCCCCAGAAAACCTTTTTTTTTGTTGTGCTGAGCACTTGTCTATTCTTACAAGACTATCCCACCCTATTGTATTCATCTTTCAATGTTCATGCTTAAATCTATCTTTTACTCATCTTTAAAAAAATCTATGTAACTCCCCATTTTTCTCCTCAATCAAACTGTTTTTCTTTGCATCTTCAGATTTTCATTGTTGAGAATTTCCCATCCCTTCTGAGCTGTCTTCCCCTGAAGAATTTTAGTCTATGGGATCCTCCCAATGTTTTTTTCTGAACTCTTTAATATCTTTCTCCTAAAATACAGTATACTCTTAAGTCAATATCTGGCTTTCTTCTCCTATTTTGAAAATTCTAGGATGGAGTGCTCATTTCAATCCAACATTCCCAAAATTTATACTTTAGCAATAACTCATACTTTACTGGACAGAATCAGGTGTAGAATAGCAGTTGCCCCTTACTGATTGTTCCATATTTTGAATAATGAAATTATCATTTAGACAAACCAAAATATGATTAGCTTCTGAGAATGAAAGAAAAAGAGAGAGACAGAGACAGAGAGAGAAAGAAAGAGCACCAACAGATATTCAGATAATTAAAGTCCCCCATGATTGCTATATCATGCCTCTGTGACAGGATTATGATCTGTTATCTGAAATCACATCCTCTCTTTTCTTCTTGTCTAGGAATTCTCTAGTATGCTTTGATGACAATATCACATCTACTGCCTCCGTTGGTCTTCACCCAAACGCCCTCTACCATATCTTCGCCCTCTATTTCCTGGATTTTCTCAGATCCCTTTTAATATATAGTGTTACTATACCACTATTAGGCCTATACCCCAAGAAAAAATCAAAGATACAGGGTCCTTTATATACAAAAATATAATAGTTCTTTTTGTGTTAGTAAAGAACTACTTTATCCATGTTTATGTTTGGTTAGAAAAGAAAAAAGACAAAACCCAACACTATTATCTATATCCTTCATTAGACTGATAAGGTCCAGGAGGAAAGAGACTGAGGTTTTTTTCTCAATTTATTACTTACACAAGCACTAAGCACTATTCTCTGCACACGGTAAATATTTAATGCATGTTTGTTGAACTGAACTGAATATCTGCACCACAATGAGGCACCATGGCATGGTTCCAAAAGGACAGTACTAAAAGTCTGGAAGCTTAGACTCTAACTTTGAACACAGCACTCACTAGGTGACCTAGCATGTAAGCCTTCTGGTCAATGTTTTCTTATCAATGATATCTTAATTGCTAAATTTAATGGCTTTTCTTCAATACTCATACTTTGAAGCAGTTGACTAATTTCTCCTCCAGATACTCTCTCTGGGTTTCATGACTCAGCTCTCCCTTGGTTGTCTTCCTGTCTGTCTGAAGGCTCCCTCTCAGTCTCCTTTACTACAACTTCATCCATGTTATAACTACCACATTAATTTAGGCTCTGAAAAGTCTTGAGACATCAGCAAATTGCAATGGCCTTAACTGGTTTCCCCTGCCTCAAGTGGCTTGACACTACAATCTATCCTTTACATTGCTGCCAAAATGATTTTCTTAAAAGTGTAGCTCTGAAGGGGCAGCTAGGTGGCGCAGTGAGATAGAACACCAGCCCTGAAGTCTGGAAGACCTGAGTTCAAATACGGCCTCAGACCAAACACTTGACACTTAATAGCTGTGTGACCCTGGGCAAGTTATTTAACCCCAACTGCCTAAAAAAAAAAAAAGTATAGCTCTGTCCACATCACACTCCTTTCCTGACTCAAATTCTTGTGGCCACATTTTACTTCTAGGATCAAATACACTCTTCTATTTGGCATTTAAAGATCTTCACAACTTCACTCTATATTATCTTTCCAGTGTTCTTAATATTTTACTCCCCTCGATGCACTCTATGATCCAGTTATACTGGCTGACTTGCTGTTTCTCATCCACAATGTTCCAACTCCCCTCTGAATGCCACTGTCCTCTGGTTGTCCTCTATGCCTGGAATGTTCTCCCTCCTCACCTCAGCCTCTCTGAATTCCTAAATTCATTCAAGATTTAGCTCAAATGCTGCCTCCTTAAGGCCTTTCCTAATCACCCCAGAACTAGTGCCTCCCCTTTAAGTTTATCTTATAGCTACTTTGTATTTATCCTGTATACATCTATTTATGTTCATGTTTGTCTCTCCCATCAGAATATAAGCTTTTTGACAGCAGGGCTTGTATTTGTTTTCTCTCTGTATCCCTTGTACTCAGCACAATGCCTGACACATAGTAAGTGTTTAAAAATATATGCTTATTTATTAGTTGAAGAATTTCTTCTTTTAGGGAGATAATGAGTTTAATTCAGGGCAAGAAGAGTTGAAGTGTTGGTCAAACATTTGGATATGTTGACCTAAAGCTGAGAGAGGTCAGCGATGTGTTTGTGTGTAAAAACACAAAGAGAGACACAAAAGACACAGAGACACGGGGTGGGGGAGAGAGAGAGAGAGAGAGACACTGAGGAATAATAGGACTAGTTATAATAGCTGAAGTTGTGAATAGCAGCTGAAGGAAAGAGCATAGAGAAACAAACGAACGGGGCCTAGAACACCACTTCAGGATACAAATTTTAAAGTGTCAGGATGAGGAACCAGATAATGAACTCTTAGGTACAAGAAAAACCAAGAAGTGTAGTGTTTCCAAAACCCAAGGAGGAGTAGGTAGTCAACAGTATTAAATCATATTGAGAGCTCAAGGAAAATTAGGACTGAAAAAAGACCACTGGATTTTAGAAGCAGAGGTAACTTTTGAGAGAGCAATTTCAGCAGACTCCTGGGGATGGAAACAAGGCTGCAAGTTGATAAAGTTAATGGATAGTGAGTAAGTGGAGATGCTGCACCTGTGTCACCTGGCAGGAATACCATCACACAGCAATTGAGGCCTTTGGAACAGTCTCCTTAACACAAGGGTTCTTAACCCATCTGTATACTTGCAGATAAAACGATATAGTAACAAAATACTCACCCTCCCAAAGAAGATTTTTTTTGGATGCAATTCCAAGGACTTACTTCCATAGCAAAACAAACAGTGTCACTATAACCTAATGAAGATTTTTTAAACCTGAAATGTAATAATAAATATGTAAAAGAAAAATTTAAGCATCTATAAGTTCTCATTATTACTTTTTTAAGCCTTAAAATGCAATATAAAATGATTTGAGGGGAAGAGGGAGCTGGATGTGATTTCAATGCTGTAGAAAAGTTAAGGAGAGGAGACAATCTTTATAAATGTGTATTTACAATTGTTTTGCAACTATTTTTGAAGAGCTAAATCACTTATCAAGCATCAGGAGTAAACTTGCACCCAGGTCTTTCCGACTCTGAATCCAGATCTCAATTCATTATGCTAGGCTGCTTCCCCAAATGTGAACTGTTATTAGCATGCCAATTCAAGAGAAATTAATAAGCTGGGGGAAATTCTGAAAATGCCATTTCTCCCTTAAGAAGTACCACATACGATAATTAATATGCAGTTATTGTTTTTATATTCATTGATATAAACATTAAAATCACATCCCTATTAAAACTAAATTGATATTAATTCCAAGTTTATGCTTTACACATTAAATATTTCACATCTCTGAAATTAACAGCAATTATTATATATAAAATACAACTCAATCAATTTGTAAACTGCTATTCTTTAATACTTTCCATGTGGAAGCTCAGTTTACAAAATTAGCCTCAGAACCACCTCCTGAGGTGGGCAAGTAAACTATAACAACATTATTATTCTTTTTTTTGTTAACAGATGAGGAAAATTAGACAGTGTTTAAGGGACTTGCCCGAGGTTACATATTTACTAAGTAGCAGGGTTGGCAGTAGAGTCTAGATCTTTTATGAACAGTGTAACATTTTGTTCCACTACAAATTAGGCATTTTAGACTCATGAATAAATAAGAAAAAAGAATGAAAATCGCACATTTAGAAAACACATTATAGTTTACAAAAATATGATTTTGCTGCTTATATCCCAATCTCACCACAATAGAGCACTTTCCTAACCTTAAAGCACTAAAATAAATGTTAGTTATCATTTTTGTTGTTGTCATTATTATCGTTATTATTACAATAAAGCCCACAAGACCTTATCGGACACAAAGAACAGAACTACTGATAAATGAAGCTCACTAAACCAGAACTGCAAGTATTATTGCTCAATTCAGGTTTTCCTACTTTCTTTTATTTCTTGCCTCTCACATTAAGCAAGAAAGGTCATTTATTTCTCTAAGGAGAATGTGTCTAAAGAGTGGCAAAATGAATGACATGAGTTGAATGACATATGTGAAAAACCTGTTTTGTTAATAAAAATATAATTTCTAATTAGAAAATACAGCAGCAAAAAAGACTACCTGGAGGTTCTAAAGTTCTTTAACAAATATGTGAATTGGATTGAGCAATTTCACATTTACCTCTGACAGAGAAAGTGACTGCAACGTACCAACATGTGCATACAATGAACAGATATAATTCCTATAAATACAAGACTGATTGGTCCAAGCTGTAACAGAAAGAAATCAAAACATAATTTTTAAATACTGAAACTTTAAACAAATGTCGCCTTATAAACAATGAGAAAACAATTTTAATAAATACTCAGTTAATTGAATGATGAAATAGCTTATTAAATGAGACAAAAACTCAAAGACATAAACATTTTTTAACTGATATTTAAAGTCCATCTCCCATTAGCTACCCCAATCTATAGTATATCTACAAAAGGAATGGCGATGATGTAGGCTAAAAAAGTACATTCTATTCAAAACCACATGAGAAGTCAAAGAATATCACAGCCTACTACCAAAAGAACCACAGTGTGGTAGGATCATTCTCATGCTAAATTACCTCAAAAGGGCTGAATACTGTGGCAAACTGGTATTAATATACCAGTTTGGCAATGCATGCCAAAGCAACTGAGACAGCATTTCTCTATCCCTACCTCCTCTTCTAACAGACATGTTTAAAAATCAGTCTAAAGAGCTGTATCATAATATCCTAATAATCAAAAAAAGAGGGGTTTTCAACAAATAGTCTTAAGTATATTCATAATTTCATATATATTCATATCACTAAAAGAATGAAAGGTGTTCTAGATTAGAGTAGGCCAATCTGTCGGACAAATCACTTGTACAGTGAGATCATAATAGTTTTAAATAATCAATACACAAAAGTCAAATATTACTCCACTACTTCATAGATAATTTTCCCAAAACATCCCTAAATAAGCTTCAGCTTATTTCAGCTACATGCTAAATTACAAAGAACCACAACCTTTCTCTTTAGCAGACGTGTTAAACTTGATTCTTGAGCAACAAAACTTCATCTTTATAATTTACAAAATGTATAGTTTTACAATACAAATAATCTGCATTATCACTTTTTTATTTATTGGATACCACATTCTCTTTACTATTGTGTTATTATTGTTTAGTCATTTTTCAGTCAAGTCTGACTCTTTATGACCTTTTTGGGGGATTTTCTTGACAAACATACTAGAGTGGTTTGCCGTTTCCTTCTCCAGCTCATTTTGCAGATGTGGAAACTGAGGCAAACAGAGTGAAGTGACTTGTCTAGGGTCACATACCTAGTAAGTGTCTGAGGCTGGGTCTGAACTCAGGAAGAGGAGTCTTCCTGACTCCAGGCCCAGTACTCTATCTACTGTGCCATCTAGCTACCTTACTATTATTGTACACTTTTCTTTATCCTTGAAAAAGGTAAATGACCCAGTTGAGACTCTTGGGTTATATACAACATAGCTAAGAATAGGGATCAATCTATATCACAGGTGATCTGTGAGGTTAGCAGATATCTATTTGAGGGAGAGCAATCTCAGTTAGCCATAGCCCACGGACAGATTAGGGGGCCTTTCCTGACATGTCGACTCCCTGAAGTACATGTAGTCAAGGCTTATCCCTTATAGTTCCAATTTCATTAACAGAAATCACAAAAAGCCACAAATTTCACATAAAACAAGATAGACAGAATCTATAGATAATCAGAATCTGAAACTTTCTCAGGCCCAAGTCATGATTCATACACAGCATCAGAATCATGATTTCAGGTAATTTGTTTCTTAGTAAAATTACCATGACCAGTCAACAATCAACAGTCTAATGCAGAGGTGGGGAACCTGCGGCCTTGAGGCCACAAGTGGCCCTCTAGGTCCTCAACTGTGGCTGAATGCAAACTTCACAAAACAAATCCCCTTAATAAAAGAATTTGTTCTATAAAACTTGGACTTAGTCAAAAGGCTGCACTCAAAGACCTAGAAGGACACATGTGGCCTCAAAGCTCTAAGTTTCCCACCCTTGATCTAAGGGAATGCTCATATCCCTTTTATATGTTGCTTGCAATAGCAACAGGTGACAAAAGACTGGTAGTACACATTTCCTGATAACATATACTTGCTCTCACAATCTGACTGTCCCAAAGTTAGTAGCACAAGCAAGGTGTATGTCTACCATGCCAGCTGCAGATCAATACTGATAACCAAAAATGATGGGCAAACTGTTCAGCCTTACGGAATCTAAACTGTGTTACAAGCATACTTTGAAAACTTATCACTTTTTTAAACATGTTCAGTGTTAACTTCAGTTCAGTTCCACAATTATGGTCTGCTTTATGCAAGGCACTATAATACCAGAAGTAAACATCCAATGACAAAGAAATATTAAATATTAATAAGAAATATTAAAAACTATTTTCACAGCTTGCATTATTATTTATAGTTTCCATAATTTTAGTGAAATACAATATTGCATCAAAACTGACTTTTAACTGGCGAAAATGCATCTGACCAAAAACATCTGATATTACTAGCCTGGACACTATTCTCTGACAATTTTTTGTTTATCATTTAGATCATTCAATGTATCTTAACTTGCCACTACAAAAAAAGTCTTACCACAATACCGGCATTTTTTATTGCCAGTGGGAGTCCTAGAAGGCCAGTTCCAATATTTCCTTTAAGCAGGTGCATAAGGGTTTGTATAAATCTGAAAAGTGAAAATTACAAGATTTAAATACTCAAAATCAAAAAAGCTAATAGATCATAGAATCTTTTTTTTTTTGGCAGAGGGTGGGATGGGGTGGGAAGAGATAATCGAGGTCAAGTGACTTGCTCTCCCAGTGAGTAAGTGTCTGAGGTCATATTTGAACTCAAGTCCTCCTGACTCCAGGAGTAGTGTGCTATCCACTGCACCACCTAGCTGCCCCCCACCCCACCTTTTTTTTTTGGTAGACAGGAATCTCCAATAATCAAGACATCAACATTTTCATGTTTTAATGAAATTTTATTAAAGGGATCAATAAAACCCATATCCTAGCATTCCTATGGTACTTTGACAATTTGCAAATCACTTTACATCTGTAATCTCATTTGATTCTCACAACACCTCTGTAAAGTAGGTGCTATTATTACAGTCATTTTATAAATATGTAAGCTGAAAATAAGAAATGTTAGTACTTTACTCAGGGTCACACAGATAGTAAATGTCTAAGGAAGGATATAAATTCAGGTTTTCTTACTCCAAGTCTAGCACTCTGTCCTCTATGCCCCCTAGCTGCTTCAGAACATTATATTCTAATTTTAAAATCATTAAGCCTTGTTCCAACATTATGCTTGATATTAATGGGAGACAGAAATAACTCCAAGTAACATTTTTAACAAAAGTAAAAAGCCCAGCATAAAAACAAGGTACCATCTTTTTTCCATGCATAAGCTAGCTTAAGAAAGTTAATAAAAATACAAAAATAGTATGGACAATATAAACAACAGTACTGAAAATTCAGATTGTGATTCTTGGAATAATACAACCACTCTGAAAACTTGTAAAATTAAAAGAATTGCCCCCTGACTTCAGTCTTGAATCTGAAATTTTTCCTTTCTTACCCTGGCATTACCAACTTTGCAACACATTTGCTTATCCCAAGTAATATTTCAACTATTTCCAAATGTTTTGTTTTAGTTTTTTTTCAATCATTCTGTTTTTAAACTGATATTTTTTTTTATGTCATACTACTGCACGATATTTATTCTATATGTGTAAGATATCTATAAGATGAAGATAGAGTACTTTGATTTGCAAAAGACTTTAAAGAAGTGTATGCTCAGGCTACTGAACATTGTCTGCATTTTCACTATATTAAACATACTTGATATATGATTCTCTTAGAAGATTTTAACAAAAATTAGGCAAATAAAAAAGCTGAAAGACTAGTTACAACAGAGATAATAGTAGTTTGAGCAGATTTTCACTGTGTGGAATTGTCCAGAGACCATTTCAAAGAAAGGTTTCCAGTTAACCAATCAGTCAATCAATGAGTACATAAGAACCTACTATGTGCCAAGCCCTGTGCCTGGACTAGGCACTGGGGATACAAAGGCCAAAAATGAATAAAAACTATCTTTTCCTCATCTCTTTGGGCTCACAAATTAAGAGTTATAAGGAATCACAGAGACCATATGATCTGACCTCCCTCATTTTACAGATGAAGAAACAGGCTCAGGGAAATTAAATGACATATCCTACATCAAGCAGGAAGTAAGAATTAGAGGCAGGATTTGAACTCAGGTCCTCTGATTCCAGAAGCAGCGCTCCTTCTGCAGTATTTCACTTGTTCTCGAGGAAATCACATTCAATCAGAGGAGATGATATGTTAGTCAGCCAATAAATATTTATTAAGCACCTACTATGTGCCAGACAGTAATACAAAGAAAGGCAAAAGAAAGTTCCTGTTCTCAAAGCACTCACGGTCTACTGGGGGAGACAACATGCAAACGACTCTGTACAAATAAATTATAGACAGGATAAAGTGGAAATAACCAACAGAGTGAAGGCACTGGAATTAAGAGAGAATGGGAAAGGCTTCTTGTAGAAGGTGGGACTCAAAGGAAGCCAGGGAAGCCAGGAAGCAGAGATAAAGAGACAGATTTCCAGCTACAAGGGAAAGAAAGTGAAAATGCCTGGAGTTAGGAGATGGAATATCTTGTTTGAGGATCAGCAGGGAAGCAAGTCACTAGATTTCTGAGTATATAATGAAGTTTACGGGGTAAGAAGACTGGAAAGATGAAAGACAGCAAGTTATAAAGGGCTTTAAAAGACAAACAAAGGATTTCATATTTGATCCTAGAAGTGAAAGGAAGCCAGAGGAGTTAAGGTGAGGAAGGGGTGGGGGGTAACATGGTCAGAATTGTCCTTTTGGAAGATGACACTTTACTTGCCCGGGTTGGATTTTAGATATGTCCAGGGGATTTAATTTGAAATGTCTAATAGGCAGTTGGTGATGTGGAACTGGAGCTGAGGAGAGAACCTGGGGCTGGATATACACATCTGGGAGTTATCTGAATCATCATAATACTTAAACTCATAGGAGCCAATAAGATTACCAAAAAAAGAATACAGAGAGGAAGAGAAGATGATCCAAGGGAAGAGTCTTGGAGCACATAGCAACAGTGGGAAGGCAGGATATGCATAATGAGCCAAGCAAAGAAGACGAAGAAAGAGTGATCAGGGAGGTATAAAAGGAAACAAGAGAAAACAGTTCAGAAAAACCCAGACGTGAAAGTATCCAGAAGAAGAACAGTAGCAAATATAACAAAGGAGTCAAGAAGGATGCGGACTGAGAAAAGGGCATCAGATGTGGCAATTAAGATATCAAAGAGTAATCACTTAAATGATGCAGTAAGAAGCCAGACTACAAATTGTTGAGGTGTGAGATAAAAGAAGTGGAGGAAACAAGGACTGACATTTTTGTAAGTGTTTGGCTAAGAAAGGTAATAGATTTAGAATGACAGCTAGAAGGTTTTTTTGTGTTTGTTTTTCTTTTCTAAAGTTCAGGGAACTTTGTAAATGTTTTAAGGAAGTAGTAAAAGAATGTGTAGATAAGGAAAAAGTGAAGATTGCAGGGGTATTTTGATTGAGGAGGCAACTCTCTGTAGAAGACAAGGGAGGACAGTAGAGATGTTGGCTTTGAGGAGATGGGCCACATTTTTTTCAGAGACTGGAGGAAAAGAGTAGAGAATAGTATATGATGACAAAGGCCTTGGAGATAATTAAGAGAAAAGAAGGAACTTATAGTAAATGGACTTAATTTTCTCTCTTTAGTAAAAGATAAGATTATGGGGGGGGTTACGTGGCACAGTGGATAGAGTGCTGTGCCTAGAATCAAGATGTCTCATATTCCTGAGTTCAAATCTGGCCTCAGACACTTGATAACTGTAACCCCAGGCACGTCACTTAACCCTATTTGCCCCAGTTTCCTCATCTACAAAATGAGGGGGAGAAGGAACTGACAAACCACTCAGATAAGACAGAAACGACTGAACAACAACAAAAGATTATCAAGAAAGGGTGGGAGGAATGAGAGGTGTAGAACAGTAGAGGTTTGGAATAGCATTCCTAGGGAATGATACAGGGAACAGTTTAAGGAGGAGAAAAAGAATAGTCTTTTTTTAATAGATTACATAAATCTGTAGGGTACCCAGTGGAACACAGATAGGTAACAGCCAAATTCAGGGTATGACAATCCCTACGTGTGGCTAAGGTGGAGTGAAGGAGTAGTTAATGGGAACTGAGAAGACTCGAGAAGTGACATGCCCGGGGCAGCTCGGTGGCGCAGCGGATAGAGCACCAGCCCTGGATTCAGGAGAACCTGAGTTCAAATCCGGACTCAGACACATAACACTTACTAGCTGTGTGACCCTGGGCAAGTCACTTAACCGCATTGTCTAGCAAAAAAGAAAAAGAAGAAGAAGAAGTGAGATGCTAGGGAGTTTGAAGAAGCATCAATGTGAATGCTGAAGTTCCCTAAGAGGAGAGGAAGACTATGAGTCAAGTACTAAACTCCTTAAGAAGGGGGAGATGGGACAGGGAATGCTATTTGAGAATGACCAGGGACCTGGAGTAGATAGCAGCCACCATGAACTGTATGTGGTGAAAGAGTGAGGAAAGAAGGAGAGGATGCTAAGTGATGGAGGCAAAGGGAGAGTCTGGAAGTGGCAATGATAAGGGATGTTCCGACTCTCTCTCCAGGATCAGTGTAATGGGAGGATAACAGAGAAGGTATGACCTATGTGAAAGAATGGCAGGGGATGCCAGGAAAAAAGAGAATTTATTCTCTTAACCAAGAAAGGATAAATATTACCAAGCATTAGGAAAATCACAGAAATTAAAACTTTTAGCAACAATGATTTTTAAAAAAATAATTGTACAGTTTAAGTAATTTGTAACAAAAAGTTAGAAAAAAGACTGGGTTACTGACTTAAATTATGGCATGTAAAGAATGGTGAGCAAAAAGAATTGAAAAATTCAAAGAAATGTGGGACTCATGAAGTAACGCAGAGTGAAGAAAGAGATCCAAAAAATTTACACACCAATTACACCTATATATAAAAGGACAACATTAAACTGAAACAAAACTCCTGTGGGTCAGCTACAATGGACTCAGTACAACCTTTTTAAAGTTAAAGCACACCTTTCTTTTCTTTTAACAAACAGTAAATTATTAAAGTCTAAGACTGAATAAGTCAAATTCACTTCTTTATGCCATTTTGCTAAAATGTTTTCAGGGAATATGTTTTGATCATTTTTGTGTGCTTTGTAGGCTTGTCTGATGTGGCAAAACCACATTTATCAATAAAAATGGTAGAAATTTACAGCTCATTTTAAGATACTTTAATCACTTTCCTAAAATAAATTTAACTGCTATGATTTGCTCAATCATTAATTCTATTTAAAGAATTCTCCAAATCAGTTTAAAAGTATAAAGATAATAGTAAGTAAAATACAAAGAAAGGTCTTTAAAATACTATACTTACGAAATGCCATCTTGACTATCAATTTGGTAATGTTTCTGAACAGGCAATAGTTCATGTTCGTGGTCCTCATCAGATGTACCATCTAAATTTTGTTCATCTATCAAAGGCTTCATTACTTCCATATCTATGAAACAAAAACAAAGTATTTTAGCAACAGAATGAACATCTGTAAGCTTAGTATGAACATTAGGAAACCTAAATTCTAATTCTACTTGTTTTAGTAATTTTCCAAATCGCTAGGGTCACATAAAATTTCAAAAAAAACAAACAAACTAGAAACCAGTTTATTCAAGTTAAAGGACACACCCTTTTTTAACAAATATTATGCCCCCCAAATAGAAAGCAACATGTACCATCAGTTGCAACCATTTTTAAAGTAGTTTTGCTTACTTCTTGTAGGAAACATACTTTGGGGTAGAATGGGGGTTATTTGTTGGAATGAGTTTATTAGGTTAAAAGTAATCAAATAAAATCTTTAAATATGTGTAAGAATGGGGTTGGTTGAGTAAATTAAGTCACCCATCCCACTTAAAGTAAATGTTAAGATGCTCTGATACTTTAGTGAGATGAGAGAAAGTCTCAACCAAACAACCAATCAATCAAAAACTAGTAATGTTCAAAAGAAGAGTATGCAGATTTGCTAAGGAAAGTTGATCATGCCTTGTGAATGGTCGAGGAATTTGAAGACCAGTTCAGAACCCAAGTTCTGGTGGAAATAGAGATTCCAATGAATGGAAAACGTGGAGATAGCATTCCAGGTAACTCTCCAGCCCATAATGCCAACCCAAGTCATTTGGGGGAAAAGAGTACTTTTGCCTTGCCTTAATATCCTTTCCCTTCCCCAATGAAATGAGGAGCAACTCATGAACTAGAGGTCTTCCCATCTTCCCATCCACATTCTAGCAGCATTGACAGTTATAACTTCATCAGGAGTAAAAGATATGATGAATGTAGATTCACATCTCCACAAAGAATACAGCAAAGAAGTGACATCGTGTCTAAAGGAACTTACTGAACACCTCATAAAGGGGAGAAAAGAACTCCCAGCAACCAAGAGCTGTGAATTATTCCTTTATTACATGTGTTCTCTAAGCTTGGGCTTACTTTCCTCTTGTTTCTATACATACTGATAATACAGTGTGGCAGGGTTGGGGTGGGGGCTATTTTGTACCAACTGCTCTAACTGTACCACTTCAGTAAATACTTCTTTCTAAAAATTACTAAAGGTTGGCTGACTAAATTGATTCTTTTTCTCTCCTTTTTTCTTTTCTTTTTTTTCACATTTAATAGTATTTTATTTTTTCCAATCACATATAAAGATAGTTTTTAATATTAATTTTTGTAAGATTTTGAGTTCCAAATTTTTCTCCCTCCCTTTCTCCCTTCCCTCCCCCATCCCAAAGACAGCAAACAGTCTGATATAGGTTACACATGTACAATCATGTTAAACATATTTCCACATTAGTTATGTTGTGAAAGAAGAATCAGAACAAAAGGGAAAAAACATAAGAAGAAAAAAACAAACAAAAAGTGAAAATAGCATGCTTCGATCTGCATTCAGACTCCATAGTTCTTTCTCTCGATGTAGACAGCATTTTCCATCACGAGTCTTTTAGAATTGTCTAAGATCATCATATTGCTGAGAAGAGTTAAGTCTATCATAATTGATCATTGCACAAGGTTGCTGTTGCTCTGTATGGTTCTGCTCATTTCACTCAGCATCAATTCATGTAAGTTTTTCCAGGTTTTTCTGAAATCCACCAACACTCATCATTTCTTATTGCACAACAGTATTCCAATACATTCATATACCACAACTTGTTCAGCCATTCCCCAATTTCCCATTCCCCAATTTGTGACATCCCCACAATTTCCAATTCTTTGCCATCACAAAAAGAGCTGCTATAAATATGTTTGTACAAATGGTCCTTTTCTCTTTTTTTTTATGATCTCTTTGGGATACAGACCTAGTAATGGTATACTAAATTGATTCTTAATAATTATGGTGGGAAGTTTACTGGTAAGGGTTTGTAAGCTAGAGCATTAGAAAGACATTTCCAATCCCTCAAGAGTACTCCCAAAATCCCAAGGAGACCTACCAGCCAAGTTCTGGGGATCCAACTTAAAGTGGGAGTAGGAATTTGGATTAGAACTGAGAGCATAAGCTATAGATGTAAGCAAAATAATTTGCTGCTTTGACACTAAACAATCTATTTTACCACTCTTTGTCCAGTTTTATTACATTTAAAATAAGGTTAATTAGGGTTTATTTATGCATGAGCTTTCATGTTAACTTGCTAGGCTTCCACACTATTTCCCAGACAGCTCTTCACCACACTGCCTATACTCCAACCTCCAACATTACATCACCTCCACTGCGATTTTGTGCTCTCACGCCTATGTCTCTGAGCTTTCTTAACTGAACTTTCCCCTTAGCTTGGTGCCACACATCACACAAGAATTGTTTCACTTATTGCATTATAATCCCATAAATACTCTCTGTTTATTGATTGAACAAGAAACCTAAAGAAATCATCAAACAAGAATCAGGCAGGAGTACCCCAAAACAATAGAAGTATGAATGTCAAACCTATTTCTAAAGACTTCTAAAGAAGGTATATTTGAATTTTCATAAATTAAACTTTTGGAAGTTTTCTTGTATCTAGCTTGCTGTCTATTGTACTCTCCTCACAGAAACAGCACAAGCAATTGTAAGTAAATAATCATTCCAAAAATTGTGTGTGTGTGTGTGTGTGTGTGTGTGTGTGTGTATCCCCATCCTTCACTGCTCTATATAATATTCCATTAATGCAGACTTTGGGAAAGTGGGGATGGAGGAGTTGAAGAAGAAACCAGTTTTAAAAGGACCTATAGTAGTAAAAATTTTCAATTTGACCCTGACCAACAGCAGTCCAAAGCCTAGTAGATGGAGAATATAGTTCTAAGGTATGTGACATTCAATATTAGGCTTTTAAAAAGTAGTTTTAACTAATATTTTTCAAATAGTTTCTATTTTTGATTGATAAGTCCTCTTATGGAAAAGTACAAAGGAAAAGTTTAAATGTAAATTATCACAAATTAGTGAGGTTTTTCTAAAAAACAAATTCCTTTCCTTTTCCTTTTTGGGTCATTTTTCTGTGACCCCTTTCCAAGTCCTTCATATGCCTAATGCATAAGAAAGGAGAGAAATAAGGGAAAGAGAAGGAAGAAAAGGGTTGATATAATAGAACTATCTCACTATTCTGACCTAGTACTATATTTGCATTATGTGGTGTAAATGAACTCCTACCCCCCGCCCCCACAACACAACACTGCTTTTCTGGTACACTCAAAATAACTTGTTTCTTTACTTAGAGATTAATAATGATAATAATAACAACAATCATAAGTATTATCTTCAGATAATATAAACGATAATACTTAACCAAGCAATCAACCAACAAGTATTCATTAAATGCCTACTGTATGCCAAGCAATGTGCTAGGGATTAGCACTGGGGATACAGTACAAAGAATGCAACAATCATTACTCACAAGGAACTTACGTGATAATGTATAAAACAATGAGGACATATTTAAATATATATAACAGAAATACAAAGTGAATAAATACAAAGTAAATATGAGATAATTTGGGAGTGAGGGTACTAGCAACTGTGGGAATCAGGAACGGCTCCATTTTAAAGAGAAAACTCTTATGTAAAAGAGGTAATGCACTGCATTCCAGCCACGAAGGACAAAGTATTAAGGCATGAAGGTAGGAGACAGAATTTAGTGTGTGAGGAACAGAGAGGTCAGTTTAACTGGAGTGCAGAATGCTGGAGGGGAAGTAATGTATAATAAGTTGGCAAGAGGTTGGGTCCAGATTGTGAAAAGCTCTAAAAGCTAAACAGAAAAGTTTACAGTTGATCTCTAGAGGCAATAGAAAGTCAGTGGGAGTAGACAAAGTAGATGAGTCACACCATTAGCTCTGTGTTTAAGGAAAATTACTTTGGCAGCAATATATAGAGTGGACTGGAGTTGTGAGAGACTTGAAGGAGGGAAGCTGCTGCAATAATCTAGGCGAGGGGTGATAACAGCCTGAACTGAGGTGATAGTTGTATGAGTAGAGAGAAGGGCTACAATGTTGTGAAGATAGAAATAGCAAGCTTGTCAAATAATTAGATGTGTGGAGTGAGGGAAAGTGAGAAGTTAAGGATAATGTTAACATCACAAAACTTTGAAACTAGAAGGATGATGGTACTTTCAACAGAAATAAGGACGTTTGGAAGAGGAAAGGGTTTGTGGAGAAAGAAAATACGTTCAGTTTTGGACAAGTTGAGTTTAAGATGTCTACAGGACATCAAATCTGAAATACCTAGTTGGAAATATAGAACTGAAGCTCAGAAGACAGACATACAAAAGATAAATGTGTATTTTTACACAGGTGTATATAAATGTATATATGTATATATACATTCATACATAATAAGATAATTTTAGGAGGAAGATGGCTCTAGCATCTAGAGGGAGGACCTGGCAAGATTTGCTCTATAAAATGTTATTTGAACATTGATTTGAAGGAAATAAGTGATTCTAAAAGATGGTGAGATTCAAGGCACAGGGAATAGTCAGGACAAAGGTGTAAAGGAAGATGAAGTATCATGTGTAAGACAGCAAGAAAGTCGGTTTGGCTGGACTACAGTGTATAGGAAGGGTAATAATATAATAAGGTTAGAAAGGTAGGTTGGGGCCTGTTTATGAAGGTTGTTCAAAGTTCAACAAAAGTTTATATTTGATCCTAGAGGCTACAGAGAGCCATCAGAATTTATTAAGTATTTACTCTTTTTGGGTCTCACCCATAATAGGAGTTGGTAGAATTTATAATATCTCCAAGTTTCATAACAACTGAAGGATTTTGTGATTCTCAGTTTTTTTTATGGAGTTAATTTGAAAAAAAAAAGTTGCTAGCAATAATGTCTTACATAACCTTTGTCAGTATTAGGGTAATTGGAGGGAAAAAAATTATATGTATGTATATAGATAGATAATTAGATAGATAGATAAATGGATAGAGAGCACAGGGTGAGTTGGAGATGTAGGGGTGATATCTGGAGAATAAAATTGGGTAAGAGAGGATTATACT